TTTAACTTTGTTTTTTCATCAATCTGAATATTTTATACGAAAGTTATATTTTTCGAGGCATAATTTAGATTAAAGGTACATTTCGTATTGAGCAAAGACTGAATTAAACAATAAATACTTCCGTTGAAAGTAGAAAAAGGTAAGATTATATATAACATAACCCGTGCCCTATATCTCTACTCTTATTTATAGATGAAGTCTCCTAATTAGGTTTAACTTGAGTGGACTGGTTCTTGTCTATCTATTTAGGTGATCTCTCGATTAGGTAGAGTCAATTTAACCTGGTCTAGTCAAGTGCTCTGGCTCAACCAGTTTGATTCGTATCGTTCAACCCACGTCTCCCTTTTTTTTGCCTCGATTCAATGAACTTAGCATCCATAACAATATTCTATCCTATTATTTAAAATTATTGTGCTAAATAACTAAATTTATAATTAAACTACAATTGACTAAGAAATATCATTAGAATATACATGTTTACACTTATTGAAAAGTACTTATTTAACCATCGTCACATATGGTAACAAATAAGAGCTTATTTAATTTAATTTTTAATTTTTAAAACTTCAGGAATAACTTAAAAAATATATATAGATTAAGAAGGGAAATTAGGAGAAATATCTTACATATAAATTGGACAGTGTAGCGGGAATTTTGAAAGTTGTTCCTGTTCGTCCCTCTATTGACTCGGTTCCCGCCCTTCCAACGGTCATTATGTTGCCACGCTCCCTAGTCCTGTTATCGACACGTGTACGTCCCAAGTTGGGATACTACCAGGCCCACCTCTGACACCAAACTTGTCAGGATCTGCCATATTGATTGGGGCTGTAGATGGGAACAAATGAGCGTCACGTGTCCAGTTCCAATTGGATGTCTTTTCAATTATTTTAATTCCACTTTCTTCTTTATGTTTGGATTAACTTTATTAATCAAGTGATTATTAATCATATTAAACAGAAACCTTAAAGCTTATGGCTTAAATTCGGTCACGTGTCAATCACACTCCGCTCGTGACAACTTGCAGGCGCGTGAGCCACAGCCGGCTAAGTCAGCCGCCAACCTCACCGGATCACTTTAAATTCAAAATAAAAATTTAACCATTTTTTGAGACATAACAATCCAAGTGAAAAGGTTAATATAACAATTTCTTAAAATAAATGCAATTATTTTTGCTCTTATAAGAATATTGAAGTTTATTACTATAGAATTTTAAAAGCCAATGTCTGGTAAGCTTTTTTTGAAATTGATACCTTGTTGTTTTCTGCCCAAATATTTCTGAAAATGATGAGACAACAAAAGAAATATGATAAAAACTTTTAGAAAATACAGTTCAAATTAGCAAATTTGAGAAACTTCTAATTAATTGTATGATTTCAAAACATTATTCCAATATTCAAACTATTAAATATGGAATTACACTAACACCAATGGGGCAAGAAAGTGAAGAAAATATTATTGATATTTTCATTATTGATTTGCATAATTCAATGTAAAACGTCAAAAAGAGAAAAAAAAGTTGTATGCGTAGTTTTCATAAGTTAAATTGAGAAAATAATTTATTTGATAATTTGAGTTCCAACGCCATATATACAAAAGACCAAACATGTTTTAACTAACAAAATAATAGCGAATAATAATACTGTTTTTTTTAAGACAACAAACAAAGTTAATAGTTACAGCATTTAGAAATTTAATTAAATTTGTAGTATTATATAACAGACATGTGATATGTTACTTGAGCAAAATATTAATAATAGGTCTCGTTACATAATTAAAATGAAAATTATATTTATGGGGAAGAAAATAAAATGATAAGTACAGTTGAGGGAGAAAATTGATTTTGATTGAAACGATGGAGTGGCGTGAAAATATTAAATTTGAATGGCTGATTGATTATTGAAGAGATTGAAATTGACAGACCAATATTGGTGAGGAAAAAAGGCATGAAGACAAATTATTGCCCATAAAGTTTTTCTTCAAGCCATGGTTGAAACTATACTTCTTAGAGATAATTTTTTTGTTTGTCTATGATGGTTTTTCTATCCTTGATGCGATTGTATCCAAAATCCAAAATCCAAAATCCAAAAAAGACAAAAGAAAAAAAAAAAGAAAAAACTAATTTATTCTAAAAACAATAAATACATGGCTAGCATTTCACTTTAGTTTTGATTTCACTTTAGTTTTGTTTTGATTTATTGGGGTTAGAGTTTCAACTATACAATCAATCAAATATAAAACAACTTATATAATTCAATACAACATCGACAATTTGTACTCAAGTTTGCTTGTTGATACTGAATTATGTAGAGCCACGAAGATCAACTTTCAACAAATTTGATCTAACTATGGAGGAACGAGTTACACAATAAGAGATATGTAAAGAGGGAATAAACACTTTAATGCTCACGTAAATAGAATTTTGAGCTTAGCAAGTCTGTCTCAAGCAAAATTGCATACATGTGAGTCGAAGAAATGATATTCCATTTAGAAGAAGAGTGGGGCAACAAGTTCGTTAAAGCGTTGTTCTGACAGGAGGTTAGGGTAGCTACATATTGACGGACTTGAGGTTGATATTGTCACGTCCATTGAGGAGAACTTGGAGATTCTCTGATTTGACTAGGATCAGCTCAGTTCTGAGGCAGGTCGAACTACTCCTTTCAGGTGAATAAGTCCCGTTGATATTCCCAAACTGAGCTGATTGGTTCACGTCATGTCAAGTTGATTTTTTCCTTCAACATTACCAAACTAGAAATACCAAATTAAACCAATTTGAAACTAACATAGATATTTTTTTAGATTAATTGGAACTTTTAAAATTATAAGGATCCAATTAAAAATAAATTCACGCTACAAGAATTATAAGCTTAAGTTTGTATATTTTAAAATTCTATTTTAATAGTCTTAACATATGATTAATTAAGCCCGCCGTGATTTTTTGAATGAGTAATTAAAATAAATATCTTCTTTATTTGTTTTTTTCCATGTTCCAAACACTTTTAAATTTTAGCATATCATTTTATTTAAAAAGGTGAGACTCAATCATACAGGTTAGATGGTCCAACAAAACAACTTTTTTTTTTCTTCTTTATTATTTTCATGGCCCTGCATCGTGGCATGCTATCGCCCAGACTAGTAAACATAAATTGTCAATATAGATCACATTTCCACAACTGTCATTTATTCAAATAGTACTATAGTTGACATTCCGTGACATTAATATGCTTAGACTTAATAATTAAAAATAAAAGAAAATAAAAAAGAGAGAGAGAATTGAATAGATGATGAAAATTTTAAACATAGTAACATACCTAACTTAAAAATCAACTTTCACTTCTAAAAAAGTATATATAGAAGGACAGATATAATAGAATAAAAATATAATTTAATTGGTTAAGACATCCAAATTTAAAATTTTAATCTCAATATTTATAATATAATATTATAATGAATAGAGAGGAAGAAGAGAGGGAGAGAGAAAGAAGTGGTCCATGGGCAGAAAAATGGAATAATATCTGGCAAAATCTAAGGCATAACCAATGGAGAATGATGAGATTGATGGGGCAATTCTGATTTCTAAATCTGGACCACACTCTTAATATATTGGGCCCCATTTCACATGATTGAATCTAAATTATAATTCAAAACTATGTATAATATATGTATGCATTTTTTTTTCTTTGTATTGAAAGATTTGTAGGCCTAGGGGATTGTGAGTGATAACAAAATCAACAACTTGTGTGTTGGTTGTTGGTTTTTGCATCTTGGAAAATCTTGTAACTTTTATATCATCTCTTTTCTCCCATTCAACACCAAAAACTATTAAAAAATTCTTCTCCCAATCTCTCATTTCATTCCTCCTTTCCAAAATTTAACCACATTATTCTATATGCCAATAAATTTACAATGACGATTTCGGGAATAAATCGCTCATTGTTTATTTTAATGTATTATTGCTTGTTGTCAGTGTACTGGTGTTGATGCAAAATTCAGCCAAGGTGTCGTGGAGCGACCTGAACGGAAGCAAGCGAGCTGTTGTCGAGTAAAGCTCGAGACCTACAAAAATAGGTAGAACATTTCGACGCTATAAGTACGAGTTAGACAGATCAGCTTCTGACAGGTTTCATACCTGATGACGTATTTATAAGAGGCGAATGAGTGGTTGGCTATCCTATCGATATATTCTACAGTTCTGCATATAGGTGACCTGTCATACACTGTTGATCGTACCTACGACCAAGCTCTTACGCGATAGCCCAACCTTGATGCTTGAGTGGACATCCAAGGCTCAAGTCCTGACCTCCTAGCTCGCCATTCACCACAACGATGGAGGGGTGGGCCCCATTTTCCAACCCCAACAATTGAGATTAAATTGATACATTTACGAACAATTAAATTATTAAAAAGTGAGAACGAAAATGACAACTTCACATGCAATAATTTCAATTACAACGTAATACATGAAAGACAACGAAAATAGAAAGGGACTCAATAACAAATGCAAACCTCTCCTCTCTTGAAAAAATATTTCTCCGTCAATCGTAGGGTATCATAACAATAATATATCTTCCATGTGCGGTTTTTTTAATCCTAAACATAGGTAGAACCCCATGACTTAAATTTATTATTGCTAGGTTATTTTATTTACATTGACATCGTTAAGCCAATTCATAATGAAGTTAGTTACAGCATTTTGTACAATATAACTTCGTAAAAGAAAAGTTTCTAACTCAGGAAGTCAGGAGCCGCAAATTACCGGAAAAACGGAAGCAACTGTTAAAAGGAATAACAATAAATATCAAAATATGGTAAATGGAAAAGACAGTGATTGGGCGGTCGCCTACAATAGGTCACCGTCGTCTACCCGTGAATCGAGGCCTGAGGTTGATTCTGCCCACCGCCGTCAAAACCAAAGCCGAGCCGAGCCGAGTGCCCTCCCAAAATATCACCAAGCCGACTCCAAAAATATATCTTTTTCCTTTTTCTGTTTTTTCTCGCTCGACACATTGCCAATTCTCATTCCGTTTCCTCACAAATTTCCCGGAAAATCAGAGCACCGTCATCACCCAGCAAGATTTCTTTCTTTTTTTTTTTTTTCCTTTCCTTTTTTCCTATCTCTGCTTCGTCTCAGCTTCCTTTGCTATCAATAATGTAGTAACAAATCCATGCTCAACGATTCCCATCCTCTATTTTCCTCGTTTCTTCCATTTCATTCAACGCTCCTGCGGCTACTGACGGAGGATTTCAATTTCTGTCTATTCTCGTCTTCTACCTTCTAAGCTCCTAGTAAAGCTCAGTTGCGAAGTCCAAGTGCCATTTGTGTTCATCAAACCATATCTATACCAATTTCTGAGCTTCGTTCAGGAGCTTAGGTTACTAAATTTGTCGAAATTAAGCACTTTCACCGAGTGTTGGAATCTGGGTTGCAGGTAATTTTGCCGTATCGTCAGCTTCTTTTTTCCCGTTCCCGGTTTCTTTTTATCTGCTTGTAGAAGTGAGAATTGAAATTAGTGCTTGAAGGGTATTCGTTAGTTAATTTCTATCACTGTTGTTCCGTTGTTAAATAGTATTGAAGGTGTTATTCGCAATGTCCACTGACTGAGTTGAGATCCAATTGAATTTAAAGCAAACATATTCTTGTATTTCTGGAAAATTCTGATGTTATGTTTGAAGTTCCAGTCCTTTGGCGTTTTGCATTATGAGTCCATAATTATGGAACATGTGCTATCTTTGGTTTGAAATCGAGTCTGTTCTGGGAAGTGATTATTTATCTCGTTTGAATTTTTGGAGGAGGGATGTTTAAATTGGGAGTTTGTTTGTTGGTGAACTTTTACAAGGTGCCTAATAGAATTCTCTCTCTTAAAATTCAAAAATCAATCATAGGTGGATTTCTATGGAATATCAGAACATTGTCATGAAATATTGTTTTTTCTCTAAATAAGTTGGAAAAATTGGTCTTGGGAGTTATCTACTAGTTTTAAATAGTTTAGAAAGGACGTGGAAATTTTCATTTGAAAATTAACATCTAGCGAGATTACTCTTTGGGTCTCATACCATCTGAAAGATCCTGTTTGTGGATGCTGGTGTATTTCTCTCTGTTCTACTGAAGGAAATGCCTTAAGCACATTAACAACGTTAGTCTTTTTCCCATTTACTGTTGTTCATTTTGCAAAGAACTGAACTAATGAACTGGCAATTGTAGAAGTTGTATTTACTTTTACTCTATGTTTTATATTTTTCTTAACACGTTATCATACCTGTCCCATTGGTCGAACCGGGTGATTGAATAATTGCTATTCTGGTTTCAGGTGAAATAATCAATCCTACAAGAGCTATACCTATGTTCATAATCACGTTTGTTTCTGCAGCCTCCGCTGTATTTAAAGAATACCTAATTTATATAGAAAGATGTGGTCATTCTGCTTTCAACTGATATGAAGACCGCACAGGTTTTATTTTACAATTTTGTTGTTGGCTTATATGAAAAGCTCCATGTTCCTCAAACTTCAACTTTTTCACTTGTTTTTTGTTAACGACAAAAACTCCTCCACTTATTCTGTCACTTCAGATTCCAGAATGGTTTTCTAAAGTTCTGGTGCTAATGGTTTACTTCCAGTATCATCTAATTGAAAGAGAAATTGATAAGAACCAACTTGTATAGAAAATGTAAATCGTTACTTATCTTACTTGGCCAGTATTTTTCGTGACAAGGGCATTGCTATTAGGGAAGCGTGTTCCAGAGCTTCATGTGATATTAGATGTTGGATTATATTCTTTATACCTGCAAATACGGTAGTTCTATACAAGTGTTGGACATCAATGCTTGTTCATATTCTGGCTCTTAGATATTCTATGTTGTATTTTCCCCTGGATCTCATTTGTAGCTTTTAGTTTTCTATTTGGTTACTAGAAAAGAAATTGCTGAAATTATATGCCACACCTATATATCTATCTGCCATGCTAAGAAATACACTTCATGGCATGCACAGAGAGTTCAAGATGCAAAAAAGGCCTTGGATGATACCGAAAATGACCTACCAAACAACAACAAAACTGAGGCTCCTGTACCAGATTCAGGTTCAATATCTGCCTCTAACAATGATGGCAAAAAAGTTTCTCACCAAGATATCGAGTTTGTAAGTGTATATTCTTTCTGTAGTAACTATGACCAGCCTTTTATATATTTATTTTCCTCTTCTTGATTGTTCTGTTGTGATTTCTCATCTCTTTATTATTGAATGAGTTGGAATGCTGCTCTAGGTCCAGAATTTAATAGAGCGGTGCCTACAGTTATATATGAATAGAGATGAGGTGGTTAAGACCCTATTGAATCGTGCAAGGATAGACCCGGGATTTACTTCGCTAGGTAAGTATAGGAGCTCCGATTAAGTTCCGCGTCCTTATTTTCCATCGAATAACAATGCCTGTAAACAATTACTATTACTCCAGACTCTCGCAGAGAGGTGATTGGGTTTATAACATATCAATTACTGTTTATTAATGTTTTGGACTTTCATCTTTCAGTTTGGCAGAAGCTGGAAGAAGAGAATGCTGATTTTTTCAGAGCCTACTACATAAGGTTAAAATTGAAAAAACAAATCCTTCTTTTCAACCATTTGCTTGAACATCAATACCGTCTCATGAACTATTCCATACCTCCCAAAGTTCCTTTAGCTCCAATGCAGAATGGGATTCATCCTATGCCTGGTAAGCTCTTATATTCTTATACAGATGAATAGGTTACTGACTACAAAAATATCTAGCTCAGTTGATGCAGTTGTTAACCCTTGTTTGCAGCATTGTTGAGCTGCAGCTTGTAATTTGTAAACTATAGATGCTGGGGATGTGCTAGATAGGAAAATTGATTATGGCAAACATTGTCTTGTTTGAACAAATGGGAACAGAGGGTGAGAACTTTAGGATATCAGTTGATCTAGTTCATCTTAATTCAATATCGTGCTCATAAAAAATTGAGAAAAATGTCAATATTAAAATAGAAGTTTGAATGTTGAATTTTTTACTAATTTATTTATTCCAGTTTATGGATGGAGAAAAATAAGATTCTGCAGATAGTGTCAACTACCATGTGGTGGGATTGTAAAACCTTGCTCTGAGTTAATAGAACACTAATTCGGCTAAAAACTGGAAGAAGACACGGCCTCATATATGACATGAACTTGACGGAAGGCTGGAGAGTATCTGCTAAGTCTGCATACTTACTGCTGATACTAATGCTAGAAATTTTGTTTGCTAGGCTTCAAAATTCCTTTTAAAGTTAACTCAATATTCTTTTCCATGGTGACCGTGCAAAATGGCTTTTTTATCCTGCTCATTTGCTTATGGCTGTGTCAGAAATTTTAGCTTGTTTTATGCGAGTGTAATTTGTAGCTCTTCTCATAGATATCACAA